AGAGAGGCTTAAGAGGGCCTTCGAAATTCGAGGCCCTCGAATCCTGGTTTATAGCCTCGGACGCACAACGAAACGAACGTTGCCGAACGTGTTTCTAGTCGCATCAAGAATAATTTATGGACGTTAAAGGAAATCGTCCGGGCGCGCGCGCTATAGTCGGTGATGCAAAAGAATCGTCCGATCTTCATTCTCTCAACGCGACGGGAAGAGATCGATCGTTTCGAATTTAATAAAAATGGATCAAATGGTTTTTAATTGTTTTTTTTTGTTTTGTTTTGTTTTTACTTCTTCGCGAATTATGAAGTTTGAACGTCCACTGTCGGATTCTGCGAAGAAAGTAAAAAACGGCATCTTTCCTCCCTCGCGGCGCGTTGTTGGAGATCGGAAATTTCGGCTCTCTCGGAACAGAGCCGGGGCTGTGTGGAAATGACAGCCGGCTCGGCTCGGTCGCCCCCATCATGTCGCGCGCGCGGGAGAAAGGGTGGTGCGCGCGGGAATCCCGGCCACCCTCTTTCCCCGTCGTTGCTTGGGCTGCATATATCGACCCACCGATGGCGAAGCGGAGTGTGCACGACCCCTGACTCGCGCACATATGAGGAAGAGAGAGAGAGAGAGAGCGAGAGAGAGAGAGAGAGAGAAAGAGAAAAAAAGAGAAGAAGAAGAAGAAAAAGAAGAAGAAGAGAGAATGAGAACTCCTTAACCCTTATCCGAATTGCGGGGATGAAATTTGACGGACCGTCGGACAGTATTTAACATCGTTATCGACGGTTACGTTATTTGCGAGTGATAAAAAGTTAAAAACACGAAATCGCGCACACATAATAAGAAATACATGAGTAAGAGAGATAAAAAAAGAAAAAAAAAGATATCATCAGAAGAGACTTCGATAAGAAAACAATCATATAACAGCATTTCCCTCGCGCGGTTGAAAAGATAGATTGGAAGAGGGAAAAATAATCTTTATATCTCACGGAAATGAAAAGAGAGGACAAAAAAAAAAGAAAATGGAAGATTCTTATCGGCAATTCTTCCTTCCGATTTTCGTGTTTTCGATTTTCGAATTGTGACTCTCTCGTTGCAGCCTAGGAGGGCAAAGAGAGAGAGAAAATCCGATTACAAATGTTTATCCTTCTCGTTTTATCAAGTGCAACGTGTCTATCTTTACGATACTCGATCAATCTGTCAATCTATTTCTCACGTGATAGTCCTCACGTTCGTCGTTTTTTTTTATATCGATAAGAAAGTTAAATTTTTTCGTGTTCGTGATACGAACCTTTTGTTGCTGACTTCCCGAGGTACGCGCGTCAAAAAGACGAGGCGGAAGTCAAAAAGCAAGATTTCCGCTGATTGCGACGTAATCTGAAACTCCAAAAAGGAGGAAGCTCGATAGTCATGAGTTACAATTTGTTCTAAAATAAATAAATAGAGAGATAGAAAGAAAGAGAGAAAGAGAGAGAGAGAGAGAGAGAGAGAAAGAAAGAGAGAGAAGTAGGAAAGGAGAACAAGAAAAGTCAGAGGTGTCAGATTTTTACGAGCACCTGTTCACCATTTTCCCTCCGCATAGAGGACTCGCGTCGTCAGGTAGATACGCGGGTTCTCTCTCTCGTAGGGCCCCGCGCGCGTAGAGTACCCTATCGACCTGGAAACCTGTTCTCCCTCCTGCCTTCCGTTCTCCCCTTCCGCGGCCCCCGGCCACTCCGCTGCCGTGGCAGCGGGAGCGATGGAAATGAAAAATTAGGCCGTTGTCAGGACCTCGCCTCCTTCGGAACTCATCTCCTTTTGCTCTCTCTCTCTCTCTCTCTCTGTCGCTCGTCATCTTTTCTCTCTCTGTGTCTTTCTTTCTTCATCCTCCGTCGTGCCTAGCGATCCGACTTTTTCGTCACCGCCATTTATTTATCGCACGCCAACACGTACGTACGGGGTGTTTGTAAAACACGCGGCCAGATTTCTACGGTGTAACCGCAGACTAGGTGACGAAAGTTTGTAAGAAGGCAGTTTTTTTTTTTGTTTTTTTTTTTTTTTTGTTTTTTTTACATAAGGCACGTTCCCTTAGAAGTGCCTTGTTAAAATGTTGCAAGCGACACTTTCCTCTCGCACTATTCTAGTTCTTCTACAAATTGTATCTTTATAAAAAAAATAAAAAAAAAAAAGAATCTCTTTTTTCTCCAATCACGGAACCCTCGAACCTCTTGGGTTTCTGAGAGAGCAATTTACAATTTCCTTCTCTCAATAAAGCTAAGTCCAAAGTAAACAGAGAATTTAAAATACCAAAAGAGATATGTAGTCTGGAAAGCTGAAAACAGTTCGCGCCACGTAACGTACAATTTCCACTAAAGTATTTTTCACTCAAGGTTGACAATCAAGGAGATCGCCGCCAATTACGTCTTACGTCACCCTGCGTCGTCGCGTCTCGATGTGTTTTCGTCTAATGATAATTTACCTGTATAGGCGCGCGCGCGAAAGATATAGGCGGATCATAGACAAAAGAATTCTGAATCATCCCGCGCGCGGTATACTTCGTACGCGCGCGCGCGCATCTCGAACATTGCCGTTTTATGTGTGAGAGTGAGTATGTGAATTTAAAACTTCTATTATTTGTGTCGCGCGCACGCCGCACACAGGAATCCGTGAAAAGAGGTGGTCGGCTCGCGATCACAATAATTCGCGCGACTATCGGCAGGCGCCACGCCGCCACGTGTATTCTCCTCCACGACACGATGTAATACTTGCGGATTGACAGGTTATTGGCGGTTGCGCGTTTACTGCACGCGCGCACATCACAAAGCCAAAGTGTGTATGTGTTTGTACGCGCGATTTCAGAATATTTATGCGTGTGCGCGTGCGTGTGCGCGCGCGCGCACGCACGCACGCACGCATGACCAAGCGCGCACGCGAGGGCGCGTCAAGGATCGTGATTAACTTCGTACATACTTGCAACTTGACTGTAACACACCGCGGACTATTCTCTCATGTGAAAATATAGGAGGCTCGCGATATTCATTACACTCTCGCTAATATCTCGCGTTATGCGCGCTTTGTGTGTTTGTAACGTCGGCAAAAGCGGTGGACACGGCCGGAAATTAATCTCGTCTCTGGGCGACGCCGCCAAACTTTTGCTTTTGCAAATTCGATTAATTCAATCGCGCGGTTTTAATATTGAGTAACGTTATTTTAGTTCAATTGATCCCCCGTCGTAGAACAAAAGATTTGTTAAAAGAAATTAAAAAAAAAAAACTACGGCGCGAGTACTAGGGTAAAAGACCCAATTACCGTCACCTGAATAATAAACTCTGGCGTTAGGGAATTTGTTTTTAATACTTATTTATCAAAAACATGTGTTTTTCTTCTTATCTGGTTATTATTCGACGTCTCTAATATAAGAAACAAAATAATACCGCCTCTCAAAATCTCTACTTTTATTCATAAATTTAATAATTGAAAAAGAACGATATGCGAGAGCTATCACTGTCACCTCCCAAAATGAAAGAAATGAAACGCGAATGTTGAGCGCTGGATTTTTTTTGTTATATTGATTGCACTTAAAATTCTATGTTAGATTGTTTTCATTCATAACTTCTTAGGATTTATTTAATATTTTAAATAAAATAGCTTAGGGTGACGGTAATTGGACAGGTGACCCAGTAATTGGGTCTTTTACCCTATAAGTTATTTCAATAATTTGACGCGAATCAAACGAAATGTTCTATATGGGAAGAAGGGAGAGAAGATTCTCGCGCGTATATACGGCGAGAATCTAACGGGCGGAGCGAAACAAAGTTCTTTTTGGTAAATTACGGAGATATCTCACGAGATATTGCGGAATTAGAAAGATTAAGTGGATGGCGGTTCCGGACGTATCGACACACAACGCGATTGCCGCTCGCACCCTTAGGCGCGTCACCCTGTATATATCTAAGAGACTACATTATGCTTGTGCCGACCTGTTGCTACCCTTTCCTACCTCGCACCCTTCTCACTGTTCCATCCGACCTAATCCACCCGGCCGCTACGAAACGGAACTTCCTTCTCGCTCTCTTTCCTCCTTGTCTCCCAGTGTGTGTGCGCGTCCTCGTATTCGGTTCTTCTCGTTCGGCTCATTGAAGCCGTTCTATATTCTTCGTTTCGGCTCCTCTTCTGTTTTAGTACCTTCCCTCCCACCCTTCGTCAGGTTTCTCTTTTTTCTACCCAACCTCGTCAATCTCAATCTTCATCTCTTTCGCTTCCTCCCCCCCCCCCACCCCGTTGTCTCTCTTCTCTCCCTTCTTCGCGTTCCCATCTTCTTTCTCCTCGACTCTTTTTAAACTCTTCTTGACTTCTTTTTTTTTTTTTTGTCCTCCCAGACCCGTTTTCTCCACTCGAGAGTAACTAACGATACCGTGATAATATCGATGCTTAGATACAGGATTCGAGATACTTTTGTTTAGTTTAGAAGTAATTGCTCTCACTCTCGCGTCAATCAAGTCGCGATATGATCCGTGGCGATGTTGTTTTTTCATTTCGCGAAGTCTGTGAAGAAAGATTTGCAGAGGAGCAAATAAACGTTCTCCGTCGCGTATACGTGCATCTATGAGGTGTGGCCGATACGCATTCCGGAATGGCCGGATTGCATTAATGACAGACTTCTCCGACCGTTTTTTTTTAGAGTATAGTATACTTTTTCTCCAGTTTCAAGCGAGAAAGAGAGAGACTTTCCTCCCGCTTTTTTTTTTTCAAATTGAACCTGGTGTGTTTCAACAACTCGTCTTTTAGACGAGACGGTCGATAGCAGAAAAATGACGCCAACGGCAATTTACTCTCGAAGGGTTTCTCTCGTCTCTCTCAAGAGTATGTAGAAAAGAGCTTTTTTTTTTTTCTTTAACTTGGACCGAAGACAAGAAAATCGAATCCCTCTGATCTCATATTTAAGATCGCGTCGCGAGAGACACGCCTCTTTACGCGCCGCGTGCTCGCTTGAAATTGAGATTAATATCGTGTGTTTTTTTTCGATACTCTGATTGCAGCCTCGGGAGGGGGTGGTTCGATGTTGGTCCCTCCCGTGGCCCAAAGTGGGACCGGGGATCGTCCCGTGGGGGACACGGTGGCACGGGCTCAGCAGACGACCGGCCCCGCTACGACGACCCTATGGCCTTTAGCACCTGCGCAGCCTAATCAGGTTCCCAATCAGCAGTCCCAGGGCATACCACCCCTGGCCGCTACGCCTGCGCCCGCACACAATCAAGGTTCGCATTACATTATACGTATCAATTATTATTATCTCTCACGGCGGTGTTAACGATCCGAGAGAACGAACCGGGGCTCCGGAGGGAGGAGGAAATTCGAGAGAGAGAGAGAGAGAGAAAGAGCTCTCGGATATATCTCTCGAGTATTTCTCCAATGAAACATGTTGCATCCCGTTTTCACGCACGAATATGAAAACTGAAGAAAAAAAACAAAATCCACACCCGTTACGTAGTAAAAATTGTGTGTATTGTCGATCGAAACTTTTGGACGATCTTTTTTCGAACGTTAAAATTACAGAAAAATCGTTTTGATTTTTTTGATTTTTTCAAATTCTTTCTCGAGAATCTTCTGTAGAAGATATGTATAAAATTGAAGATAGGAAAGAGAAGAGCATACGGGATGACTTCTCGCTGAGAAAAGATCGTTTCCATTTTTGATTGGGAATACTGTTGTATGTGTATCGTGTGCTATGTAGAAAAAAATAGGCGTTCCAACATATCTTTCAGTTATGCAATATATATTCGCTATTGATCAGAGGTCGTTCACGCTCGACGCGTGTATAATACCTCCGCTTATCTCGCTTTATCAGCTTCGATAGCTCTAATTCGAAATACAGACGAGACGTTCTCGTGCGCCGAAATAGCTCAGTTGGGAGAGCGTTAGACTGAAGATCTAAATGTCCCCGGTTCAATCCCGGGTTTCGGCAAGTAAGGTTTTTTTTTTTTTTTTTTTTTTTATCCTTCTCAACACAATAATCTCTCGAAACACCGGAGAAGATCCAATCCGCGATCGTCATTTTCACTTGCATTCGATCAATTTCTCAATATTTTATCTTCTTCCATTATCCACACTGTACGCTTCTCTCGGCATGGTTTTTGTTTTTTAGCACATTATAATTATTGGTTGCGCATTGTAGTTGTCGGTTGCATTTATCTGGACGATTGATTGCCGTCCATCGAAAGAACGAAAAACCTGGAAACTTGAAATCATATTTCATTATTATTTACATTTTTACGAACGTGTCGCGTTAAATATGACCCTGCTTGTTTTCGTACGCGCGAAAAGTCAGTTCGAAATATATTGCGAATTTCAACCAAGTGTGAGATAATTCTGATAAAAAAAAAAGTTGGTATCAACGCGCAACGAATCGTGCTTTCGGCAAGATTTTCAAAAACTTGTGACTTCGCGTTTTCAAAATAGATTTAAAAACAGTTGAGATGGACCTTCCAGCCTTGGACTATAGGGATCGTAGTAGTAGATAAATAATTGAATAAATTAAAATATGGAACGTTTCGATCTATATATTTTAATTTATTCAATTATTTATCTACTACAATTATTACTACGATCCCTAGTCCAAGGCTGGAAGGTCCATCTCGACTGTTTTTAAATTAATACGGCCGTTTTACCAAATTCAAAATAAATTTATACACGAAAAAGAGAGATTCGAAATATCTCTCGCTTTTTTTACGGTCGGAAAGTTTCTCGTAACGCTTAATTAACAAAATTATCGTTTAAATGATATCAGCAAATAATTCTACGTCTATATTATTTATTTTATAACAAACAGTACACAATAAAAGAGAAAATTAATTTAATATTACTAGATATTTTTTAAAGTAAATATTTTTTTATATATTTATAATTGTGAATAATTTAACATCACGTGATATGTTAAAACTAATGCGCGTAATACAAAGCGGACGAGCAGTTAATTTTATTTCGTCGCGCTCGCACACATTTTCGCGTTCTTCAAGTTCTAATCTACTCTCAGAAATATCGTGTTATAAGCGAGTCTAATTTTTTGTTCGAAAGGTTAATTGTCAATTGTAGCGTATCGTAAATTTATTATTTTCCTACAGCAGGGATTAATTACTAACTTTTCACTATCTTGATGATGTTGCAGGTGCGAACCGCTACGGACTGTATTCGTTATTCCCAGGGGGTGGCGGGGGCAGTTATGTCGCTGCCACCCCCGCCACCCCCGGGCAACCGACTGCAGCGCGAGCTTATCACGCGACAACGCACAAGGGTAAGTTTACAACGACTTCCTTTGCTTCGCTTTCTACGAACACCACCACGTCGTTCGAGGATATTTCTTTTTTTTCACGACCCTCGCGCGCGCACATTATACGTTTTATATTTTTACCGAGAAATTTATCGTTAAAAACAAAAAAAAGTCGGAACTTCGCAACACGACTGTTGTCTTATGTTCGTTGACAACGTTGAGAATGTATTATCTCTCTTGAAATAAATGTTCAGAGGACAGTTGAGGATGTTGAGCATCTGCGAGTAATTTTGAAGCTCTTTTTGATTTCTCTTCAATTGGACTCTCGGATATTTTCTCGAAATTGCACGCGATCGGAAGTCGAAGATATTTCAGATAAGATCGCGAAGAATGATGGTCAGAGAGACGTTGCGTTTGTGTCGATCGCAGAAATCGATATTAAATACTGTATAACTTCCAGCGTCGAGCCTCCGCCTACGTTTTTTGCGGTTTTTCCGGCCATCTTCGCGCTAGAGGTATAACCCTCTTTTCGGATAATTGAAATCTCGCCAACGACTGGAGATTCGATTTTCGACAAGACTCCGGGCGAAGAGGAGGAGGAGGAGGAGGAGAAACCCTCCGACCCTCCGGCGTGTTGTCGCCGCGCGCGTTTCTTTTTTTCCTCTCCCGAATTCTGCTCTCCGTTTACCACCACGCGCTTTACGTAGCCGCGTTTTGGGTTACACCTCGGACAATGAGATTGTTAGGGACTGGAGGAGAGGTGAGACGAGAGGTCTGCGCGCACACACACGCAGCAACACGACGACGACGACGAGACTGGACACGCAGCAGCCACACGCGGGAGAATTCTATTTGGGGGCGCGCGCGCGTTTTTCAAGTCTGGCCCGAGTTGTCCTTCCGGGAGTTCGTCGTCTTAATTGCATAATTGCTCCATTGTGGGTCGGGACAAGAGAGGCCCGTGAAAGAGCTTGTCGAGTCGCGTGAAAAAAAAAAAAGCGCTTTTTGCGCGCCCGATCGATAGTAACTTGAGAAAAGATTAAATCAATTTGCTCACATCTCTCTCGTTAAGTGAAAAATTGATGTTCGAGGAAATTTGAAATCTCTTCGAAAATCCGCGTTCTCTCTCTCTCTCTCTCTCGCGTATATGTCTCTGCATTCGAAAATACAAAAAGCGAAACGCCGGACTGTCAACAGAGAGAAACAGAGAGAGATTTTTTAAACGTTGAAATGCAAAATTTTTTTAAATCACAGTTAAAAAAAAAAAAAAAAACACTCGCGCGCGTTGACAGTTATGTCGTTCAATTACGTATAATCTCGTCTGTGCGGACATCAACGGGTATATTTTTCACGCACGTTAATTTACATAGGCAGATACGTATATCCGCATTTAGATAAAATCAATAATCCTAGCAATGGCGCAGCGCGCTACCGGGAAGATATATCATGCAGTCGCGGTGCGCGCTGCTTTTGCTGATAGACGCGCGCGCGTTTCTCTCACGAGAATTGCGCGCGTTTTTCCTTGCGAAACGAGAAAATTATTAATCACGCGTAGGCGCGCGGCGCGGTAATAACTTTNTTTTTTTTTTTTTTTTTTTTGAAAATTCCAGTTAGCTAATTATCGGTAAAATATTCAGTTAATTATTGGGCAAAATGGAATTCTAATTATTGGCAAAATTACACGGGGGAGGGGAGGGGAGGGGGGAGGGGAGCAATGTAGCGCCTTGATAAACGATTTGCTGCTCATATTCAATATAATTAAAAGCTTTTCAGTTTTGCCTTTATTTTTTTATTTTTTTTTTATTTTTTGTTTTTTCGTAATATCTCGCAATATCCGAGCCCTTTAGTCGGAGCCCTCCCATGGTCGGCCGATGTGTTTGCACACCACGTATTACGCGCTTCAAATTAAATATTTAAACGCGGAAATGTTTATAACGTGTATTTCTCGTCATAAAGGGACTACCACGCCGGTAGTGGATTAAACTGCATTCCAGCAGTTAACTGTATTCTCCGTCGAGCCCGTGCTTCGTCTACTGCACTAGAAGCGTTATTCCTCATCACGGTGGCGGCGGCGGCGGCGCCGCGCATATACCGATATTTCCTACTCGCGCATATACCGATATTTCCTACTCGCGCGATACCAACCATCCGTCTGCGGAAGGGTAGGTCGATTAATCGGCAACGGGATTTCCCCAGTTTCAGAGAGCGTGTTTTCCGCGGCGGTCGGCGTAGGAGTGGGCGGTTACACCTGGGGCGCTCCCACGCCCCCGCCCGGATCGCCCTACAGCCCCGTGCCCGTGACACAGCTGGAGCTGCTGGCAAAAAATTTGGCAAATCTGGCACCAGCAGCCGCGGCGGGCCAGCAAGCATTGAGTCTACAGGGTGTCGGCGTCAACGTGGCGGGTAGCCTACACCACGCGCAGCACACGCAGCACACGCAGCACACGCTCAACCTAACCGGACTTCATCATTTGCATCATGGTAAGAATCGGCGCTTTGTATGTACGCACGTACGTACGCGTACAGACGGGTGTCATTAATTCGAAGAATAGGCGCGGGGGTCACATAAAAAGTCCAGGTGATCCAAATATCCATTAGTCCCAAAATCGGGTGTCCAGTTGCGGACACCCGATTGCTACTAGTTAGTTAGTACGGCGGCCGTTGGCGCTACGAGCAACCGCCCCGCTTGCCCTCCGATCCCCGCGCCTATTCTTCGAATTAATGACGCCGTCTGTACATTCGTTCCCTCGAGAAAAGTTCCCGAGAAAATCTCTCGGAAGAGAGAGAGAGAGAGACGGTCGCGGAAAGACACAATCTACAAATTGACGCGCGTCGCGTGTGCAAATTGAGAGATAGAGAGAACACATGTTACTTTACTTCCCAACCCAAAACACGTACGATCTCTCGGCAATTTCGTTCTCACACACAGCGTTACCGGCAACGCTGTATCAATCGGGAAAAAAGATCGCGGACACACGGTGTTGTCTCTCCCTCATCTTATCCCCCCCGGATAATATCTAACGTTACGTAAATACATCTAAGGTTAATATCTGATAAACGAAGAAGAGAAAGAGAGAGACAGAGATAGAGAGTTACTGAATGTAAATTTGTTACGCAAAGTACAACACAGTTCTGTATATGTCGGCGAATGAACGCGCGCGCGCACACACTTGTAACACACACTCGTAACACTTCCCGCGCGGGTAAACCGAGAGAGGAGTCTGAAACAAAAAAAAAAAACAAAAACAAAACAAGAGATTTTTTTTTTCCTCGTATTTCGCGATTGCGCTTGTTATTGCGTTTTCGCCCTATTTCCATTTTCAGAAAGGGAGAGAGGGAGAGGGAGAGGGAGAATATGTAGTTCTACTTCAAATTATTACTACATTACCGACGCAATATCGAGCACAGCCGCGAGAATACCGCACAGCCCCCGTTATATTCGCGCTGAATGTTCTCTCATTGTTCGCCACTTGTTTCTATATGACGTTGAAGCGGAATATTAATTTATATAGAATATATATATATATACATACATAAAGCGCGCATTTGCGCACCAGCACGCAAATTCTCTCATGCGATGGGCGTGTTACGCGTATGAGAAATATAATATAAATAATAAATTTAAAACGCGCAATTTTGCTTGTGTGTTTCTTTTTCACAAAAGGTGGCCTTCATCAGAACGCGTTCTCGCCCCAACTGTCTCTGGTGACCGGGAGCACGCCAACGCTTACCATTAACAACTTCTCGTCGCCCAACTCCAACGGCGTCGTGCCGACGACCGGCGTTCTCTTGCAGGAATACCAATCGCCTATAGGGGTGACAGCATCGGCGACAGGATGCGCCGTCACCATGAACGGTTCCTCTTGCCTGACCAACACCAGCAGCGCGACCGGCAACGTGGTTGTGCACGGTGGCGGTGGCAACCAGGCGACCGCAAATCAGACCACCGTTCAGCCAACAGCCACGACGAAGAAACGGGAGGCTTTCCTTCCCAGTCAAGGCCAACCGGTAAAGCTGGAGAACAAATCGACCAGGACCTCGTGTCTGTGCAGGAACAGCAACGGTACGACGTCCGTTCTTCCTTGTTTTTCTCCGCGAAATCAATTAATCGCGCACGAACGAGAGAGAGAGCCGCGATTTGCGCTACATAAAATATACCACAAGACGACTATCTCAAGACGTAGTTTTTTCCTCTCTCGTACTCTCGATTTTTAGATACCTCGGAACTGAGCGCGGAGAATTGATCTTCGGATTTAGATTATCCCCGCTGTTGGTTTCTCGAAATTCAAATGTTTCGAATTTTCTCTTTGTGCTCTTTTCATTTTCCGATTCTCCGGAGAGAGTTTCGGATTTATAGCCTTTGGATCTTCTTGTACGCGCGTTAAGCTCCTGATCTGGTCCGTCAGTTCGTTTGGATTCTCGCTAGAGATGTTAAATTTTTCCCCGAGTCTTATCCCCCCGATAACAATAATGAAATCCTCGAAGGTAAAAACTCTAGGATTTTAAATCCTCGAATCCTATTCCCATTGCCGCGCGCGCGCGAACATCCGTAGATTCAGAGATCGAAAACCGAAACGAGACCTGTTGACTTTGAATCTGTACGTAAGCGTATATAACAACGACGCAATTGGATCTGACGATTAAATTGCAGGCAAGACGAAGGTGGTGCATTCGGACGTGGGGTGCAGCAGGACACTGCCCGTCGTCTCGTCCTGGAACGGGCAGGACATCAACACCGGTTCTAACAATAGCAACGCCGGGTTGACGGTGAAGAGGGAACCGTTGGCCTCGGTGCCCTGTCAAGTCGCGGAGGTTTCCACGTCCCTTCACGCCACCGCCACCTCCGTCAAGATCGAACCCGTGCCACCCAAGTCTGAGAATGGTGAGTTGTCGAAAAATCCTTTCGAACCCCCGTCGAACGATTATATTTTACAAATTTTACACAATTGAACACGGAAAGAAAAAAAAAATTTAATTATTCATCCAACGCGATCGATGTTTGACCGTTTATATATGTATACGATATATAAAACGTTTCAACATCAGTGATCCGAATTAATTAACAGCACACGGCTGACGGACATTCGGATTATCGGAAGTCGTAGCATTATTTTCTGTACGCGCTGTAACGTGTGCGAGTCTGAACGCGAGGTTTTACGCGTCCGACACGATGTTTCGCTCGTGTGACGCGAACATATCTCCGTGTATGTAGCAATGCGAACATCCGACGATTGTGTGTATTTATTAGCGGCAGATGCGCGGATCAAAATTGCCAATCGGTCGTCTTTTGTAAAAAGCGCGCGACAGAAGAATTTGGAGAGCAGTTACGGAGTTGTTGTTTTTATTTTTCAACAAATAACAAAAATCAAATCAAATCTTTGCAACACATTTTGCAATAAAATTCATCTCAATAAGATGAGGAAAAAAAAATAGATATATAGTTTCTTGGTATGTGTATCGATATGCGGTTGCTCGATCGCGCAAAAAGAATCATTATAATTCAACCGACACAATGTGTAAATGGTTCTCAGAAAAGTCGTTTTACGTGTGTATTTGAAATATTAGATTTTTTTCAGCGCGCACAATTATAGAGGTAATGCGCAGTTTACCGACGATATGTGCGCGAGAGAAGTTGTTTTATCGAAAAATCTCTTGATTGCGCGAACTTTACCGAATAATAATCGCCGCCGACTATTTAAAGAAATCATGTAAATCCGTCGTAAATAACGTTGCAATTACGTGTCGAAGACACAAAAAGAAAAAAAAACACACACACATTTTTCCAAATTAAGATAATTACGTCTCTCTTTAATGAACTTTATGAGTAATCGTCATTTGCCGAGTTTGCAAAGGCCGTGAATGGGAAGATCTCGTTCGAGATAAAAGATAAACACGTTTCTAATCAGCATAATCACATTTTTCATCCGACCGAAAACGAGGACTCGTCATGCTGATTCGCCTAATACGAAAGGCGGTGCGACGCTTTTTTTGATAGGCGCTCAAATTCATGGGAGAGGGGAGAGGGAGAAACGCAGAGGGAGGGCGAAGCAAGGGAAGATCAAGCGTGCATAACCGCGCGATATAGAAGAGAAGCTCTCGAGAGCATGATAGCGAGAGAGAAAGAGAGAGAGAGAGAAAGAGAGAGGAGGGAAAGAGAGAGAGGGAGAGAAAAAGAGAGAAAGACAGTAAGAGAGAGAGAGAGAGAGACGTGATTATGTGAGACGAGAGAGGACCGGTCGGTCGGTTCTGGAGCGAGACGGTGAGAGGAAAGAAGCGAAGAGAGAGGAGAGGCCGAGGCGAGTTGGCGCGCAAGGGTAAAGAGGAAGAAAGAGGAGAACGGCACAGAGAGGCAGGCAGACAGTCTCGTTAAAGTAGGAGGTGCGTGGCACGCATGGCGACGCAAACACAAGGCGTGGTTCGAAAGAGTCTCGACCCTCTCTCTCTCTCTCTCTCTCTCTCTTTCTCTCTCTTACCCCGATCCCGGTCCTGACACATCCGCGTCGCTGGCACGCCACTCGGTTTTCTCGTACCCGGGTGCCCGTGTGTCGTGCGGTGTGCCCACACGTGTTACGTCATGCGAGCGTAACGTCGCCGCCGCCACCGCCGCCGCCGCCGCCGTGCCGCGTCGCCGAAGGCGCGGGATAAAAAAAAAAGTAGGCGGTTTGGCACGCGGGGACGAAAGGAAAACGCACCACAAGGGGAAACGAGGAGAGAGAGAGAGAGAGAGAAAGAGATCGGGACGGTGATTTAAATGAATGCACTTCCGCGTGCATCGATGAAACGCGCGCGACGCGTGCATCATCGTCGCGCGCGTTTCAGCAAGCGCACACGCTCGAGAAAAGTTCCGCGAGACTCATTAGAGAAAAACGTGAGAAGGTGGAGAGAAGGTGAACCCGGGGGGAGGGGAGGAGGGAGGAAGGGCAAGCAGATCGGAACGACTTAACTAACTTAGCGATAATTTTGGTTATCGAAGCGTACACACGTATACGCTTTTCGATAATAAAATGCGCAACGCGACGCATCGGGAGCAAAGTTTTTTTTTTTTTAACTAGATTTAATTTTTTGAAAAAGAAAAAATGACGACTGGAAAATCCAACCGGAACTGGCGAGAACAACAGTTCTCGTTTCCAATTCGAACATGTTCTGAAACACGTGAAAAATATACGCTCTCTGTATGCGCAACAATCTATGTGCAACAGCGCGCAACAATATATAATCCCTTATACGTGTAACAATCGACGAGTTGAGCGTATCTTTGACATTTAAACGTTCAATTCCGCTATGGATGTTCTTTCGGACGATCTTTTGGATTTTCTCGGATCAAACGTTTTACTTTTTGCATCCACTGATTTGCATATGTGACGCACCAACCGTGAAATGTGCTAGGGTAAAAGACCCAATAACTGTCACCCGAATAATAAACTCTGGCGTTAGGGAATTGTTTTTACCACTTATTTATCAAAAACATGTGTTTTTCTTCTTATCTGGTTATTATTCGACGTCTCTAATATAAGGAACAAAATAATACCGCTTCTCAAAATCTCTATTTTTATTCATAAATTTAATAATTGAAAAAGAACGATATGCGAGAACTATTACCGTCACCCCCAAAAATGAAAGAAATGGGACGCGAACGTTGAGTGCTGGATTTTTTTTGTTATATTAATTGCGCTTAAAATTCTATGTTAGATTGTTTTCATGCATAACTTTTTAGGATTTATTTCATATTTTAAACAAAATAGCTCAGGGTGACGGTAATTGGACAGGTGACAGTAATTGGGTCTTTTACCCTAATTGCGCTGCTATCTGAGCAGAGAAACATAAGAAATTCGGAATTGAATAAAAAGGAAGATTACTGGGATTGGCGTGTGTTGTCGTGCTTTTAATTTGACATTTCTCACGACTTCGTTGACTCAACGTCCAAAAACTCCCTAACGCACATCATTTGGCTGTTAGAACTGGCCGGCGTTTATTTGCAACATCTATGACTCTCCGGCACCTGATGAAGACCGCGTCTCTGATGTTCGAAACGTTTTTGCGGTTGTATCTTTGAACGTGACAAACACTTACAATCACGCGCCATCAACACCGGTGTTGGTTGGATTCCATTGTTGGTCTTCCTTTTCATTCAATTTGGAAATTTTGAAGTTAACCCGCAACCAATCGCCGGGCTGATAAAACATTCGCCAGAATCACAATCAATTTCGTACTCTTCTTCGTTTCTTCCGATTGCGTTGAAGTTTACGAATTTTTGTTTCTTTGATACCCTAGAAGCTTGTTTTTTTTTTTTTATAACGACTCACGTGCGATATTCGTCGATCGTTTTCAGGAATAGTGGTCTCGAACGCTGCTGCCGGTGGCATACCGGTTGGCATCGCTGTAGCGAGACAACGATTGCAGCACCAGGAGACCTCGACGTCAATGCGCAATGTGTCCTTAAGTCATCACACATCGCACCACGCGACGAGCTATCATCACTTCCAACCGGACGGTCTGGGTGAGTATCTTCTTTAAACACTAGGATTTTCCCCTCGGGATTGATAAAATTTCGTTTTCCAAATATCGCGAAATACGACAATTAATCAAGAACACATCTCTCGAGCACACGGAAAGTTGTTCCAGTGCTTGTGAAATGTATTAATATACGTTAATAATAAAAATGACGTTCAATTATGCGGTAACAATCCTCGTGACGATCGCGCGCCACATCGGGCTCCGACGATTCTAAAGCGAAAATGAAAAAGAGAGCTTCGCTTGTGCGTTTCGCTCGGAGAGTCGATCAAAAATTCATTGGTCGTGCATGAACACCTTTGGAAAAAAAAAAAAAAAAAAAACGATCGCACGAGAGATCCCTTTCCAATTCGTACGTGTTTTGCGCTTATCTCGTCTTCGACATCGAGCGATTTTGCCGGCGTACTACCGTATTGTTCCTCGTCTCGTAATTTATTGCGAAAGGATATCGCCGCCCCGTTTTACCGCAGCCTGAGGCTGTTATTTGTACCGTTGTGCGATACACACCTTTTTTTTTTGCAAAATGACGCAATTGGCGGAAGCAGATGCGGAAGGATCGCGTTGCGTATATACAAGGATCCCAAGCAACTGGGAAACTAATCGGTAATCTCTAAAATTTTAGATTAATGGGAAGAAGAGGATAATCTCGTCGTCGTCGTCTCGACGCGATGAAGTCATCAGACACGCGCAGATTAAACCCGTTTTTTTTTTTTTTTTTTTGTTTTTATTTGCGTGGCTAACTCGTTGAAGTTATCTTTTTTACGAATGACGTGATACACGCGTAATGTATCGCGTAATGTTGCGCTTAAAATATCCATAGAAAAAATGTCCGAGTTTCGTGAACCGAGTTTACGTTTACATTTTGCAATACACGCCGTACCCGATCGAAACGCGCCCCCGTCGTGCCAACGTCCGATCAAATATTCATCAAATTTTGAACACCGCGCCGCGCAATGTTCACCTCACTAATTGCTCGCTTCTAATAACGATCCGATGTAAAATCCCGAGGTGATGCGCGAGGCGGATTCGCTTCGTAAATTGAAGAGCCGATTCCTCTTGAACGCGCCCGGCTTGAAAACTTCCCTTCTCTTCTTCGAAACCACTTCGCACCACCGTAAGCGAAGTGGAAATAAATTCCGATAAGCACAGGACTGGGTCCGTTTGTAGGTACCAACGCAACGGCCATGGCGGTAGGCGGCACCACCCTGGTGCACTGCGGAGGGCCTGGAGGGGAGGATCGTGCGGCCCACCTCGCCGCTATTTCCTCCGGGGCGCTCGCGCCCTCTCTGAGCCTGAATTCCACTCTGAATTCCAGCCTGAATTCCACCCTGGGCAGCATCGGCGGTGCGCCGGCGGCCGCGGGCGACACGACCGCCGCTACGTGGCCGCCCACGCTGTGGCAGTATCCGGCTGCAACGGCCGCAGGTGGGTAATTCGAATTGGGAGAGGGTGCAATATATACACTGAACAAACGACCAACCAACACCACCCTCCATCCCAGCTTTTCAGAAACTAAACTACCCGAAGATAAACGAAAATCCGCGACCAAACAAGAACTGTGTCTTTATGTCGTTACGACTCCGTTTACGAGCGATCGAGTTCGGTCAACACCGTTGTCCCGGACAATTATTGTTCGGCATTGTCAGCCGCGGCGGCTATTGATATGCTAAATAAACGACGAGGCTTTTTAACTCTTTAAGCACGCGCTTTTGTTGGCAGAGTTCTTTGCCGCTGCTGATGTGTACCACGCGTGTCTAATATCTTCCAATTATTGCGTTTTCGATACGAAAGAGAGAGAGAGTTTGAAAAAAAAAGTCGACCAAAAAAATTGCACGCATCGAGTTCATTTCTGACGATTGAACGAAACCGCGCATCGATGAACACGAAAATTGAAATTAATTACCATCTCTCGTGACGTATAATGCGCGCATCCATTGGACGCGCGCGCGCGGGAGGGATTAGCCGGGGACACGCTAACGAGCGACTCCATACAATTTCGGATCGAATTCCCAACCCCTTCGGCGTTGGCCGGTGGCCTCCCTTGCACCGCTGACCGAGTGACATTTATCCAAATAACGCTGAACCGCACATCGCGCACCGGCGAGATCTTCTCTTGCGTGTGTATTTTCGCGCTGTTGTAAATCATTCACACGTTTTCATCTGTTTAATTTAATTTGATTTGAGCGTTCGAACAGGAACGAAAAATATATATTCGCAGGTAGTCGCGCGACATAGAGAAGATCCGCTTAAATTTTTCACGACTCTTCAAACTTTAAACGGCAATGTTTTGCGACACCTTTTACCGCCAGATCCTTTTTCCGAGATCAAACAATTGTTCCCCAGTAAAAACGCGCAAATACAATATACAATCAAGCAATCGGAAAGAACGATGCGAATTGAAGATTGTGATGTCTCTCTTACAGCGATGCCAACGGATCCGGTTGGTTTTCCTCAAGTGAATTCCGGACTGCAGGGCGGATTCCACGTTGTCCGCGACCCAACAACCGGACACATCCTCCTTATTCACGCTGCGGGTAACGTGTAACAACGTTGTAAAAATAAGATTCCGAGCACTATCTTTCCCAACGTCGAATCGTTCGTTCTCAATTGACGCGTCAAAAATTGTTTTCACATTGTTTTTCTTTCCCAAACAGAACAAATGCAGCAGGCCGTGGTCTGGCCGAATTACCCAAATCACAACGGTAACGTTGCCGCACCGCCTCCGTTCCTCTTGCCACCTCCTCCGCCCTCGATACAGGTTTTGGGCGATATCGGTGGCGCGCGATTGGTGCTGACCGAGAACAAACGGAAGCAACAGAGCACGTTGCCGATAGTTAAGATCGAGACCGAATGCAACAACAGTCCAACCGCTATAATTAGTAAGTAACTATATAAGTGACAGAGGGGTGGAATACGTACGCATAACGTTGGCAGTTACTTAAAATATATAATGTTTCTCTCTCTCTCTCTCCAATTTACTCGTAGCGTCCGAATCGTCCAAGACCGCTTTGCAGACCATGACGTCCATGACGGGGGCTTTGGTGCCGGACGCGGCTCTTGTCACCACGCTCCACTATTACCCGCCGGCGCCGGCGCTGGTGCAAATCAGCCAGGCCGAACCCACCACGACGCACTGTAGGTCGCAGGTAGGTAACACGTTTCACCTTTCACCAGAGTTTGAACCACCGCGCGCTTGTGTCGAAGATCGGTATGCGCGCGCGAGCGAATTATTGCGCGACCGACCGACCGACCGACCGGCCGGTGCAATATCTATGCAGATAGCGATGCAAATCGGGGTTTGCCCATGATTAATACAATGTACCACAACGTTTCCACATTATGCGAATGGCCGGACCGCGCCTCTGCGGACGTTTGACGTAATTACTGCCGCTCCCCCACCCTTGGTGTGTGTTTCCAACCACACGTTCTCTTCTGTTCGAACATCTTTCTCTTTTGATTTTTTCTCGCCTGTGAGAAAATAACATACGGATCTCTAACCGACCTATACCCACACTCGCGATGTCCTTTGCGAGAACCTACCTACTCTCGAAAGAGAGCACCGCTATCGCGTGCGCGAGTTCTTTGCAAAACAAAGAAGTTTCGAACGATCTTCGCCGATGATCGCTGGCCAAGAGAGTTTCCTTCGCGCATTCACGAAGAAAAAAATTTGAGAAATTTTTTTTGGGGCCACGAAGAACTAAAGTTTCTCTTTTAAGATTCTAAAATGTCGTGAAATATACCAAAAAAAAAAAAAAAAAATTTCTTTTTCACGCGAAGGCCACGTCGCCGGTCTCGTGTCTCACGCCACCGCCGGAAGTACCTACGACGATCGAGCCGTCGTCGTTCGGCGTTCAGGACGCCTCGAATCAAACCGACGCGCCCGATGACGCGGACGAGCAGAAGCAGGAACCGATCGTGAAGCAGGAACAGAATCTGAGTCCTTGCCAGATCGCTGCGCAGGGATCCGCCGCCGCGACGCAGGGCGCGAATCTGACCGCCGCGAATTTCGAGATCGTGGCGCCGCCGCCGCCGCCGCCGCCGCAACCGACCGAGAGGATCTGCAACGTCGTCAGAATCACGACGACCACGACCACGGTGAATCCGACCGTGTGCGGCATCGTTGCGAAAGTCGACAAGGCGGAGAACACAATAATCAACATGGCCGATTCCGCGAAATATTCGGCGAAGGAAGCGAGAAGCGCGATCAGGACGATCGAGCAGGACGCTGCTCCTCGAATTGACGAGGAAGTTCTGTGCGGCAAAGAAAACAACAAGACGCCGGTATGCGGCAAGAGCAGAGCCGGCACCAGAATAATCGAGATCACCGAAGAGAACTGCGATAGCTTTCACGAGAACCTGGAGTTTTTCGCGAGGAGAAGAGACGTGGGCGATCGTCGCGACAGCTATTCCAAGGACAAGGAGAACGTCGTACGGGAATCTAACGCGCCTGAAAAAATAGAGGTGAGTAGCTTTGATCGAAAAAAAAAAAAAACAATTTTCGAATACGAAAGTTTCATTTTGAAAATATTTATATATGTAATTTGTGTTCTATTATCACTTGTTTATTTTTCTATATTTCAGATCGAGTCGTCGAGAATCAACGCTTCAAATATTGAGGTTTATCATCAAGGTCCCAAGATAACGGAACCTTCGACTTTCGAGGAGCCGAAACCGAGCGCTGCCGATTCGACGGCCAGTTGCGAGAGCTGCGACAAAAATCGAAACATCATAATCGCGAACGGCGAGACGCGGCCGCAAATCACAGTTAAGTCATTCGACATGCCCAACATAGACGCCGACGATCAGGAGATGGATCATCATCATGTCGTCATCAAGCAAGAAGCCGACGACAGTTGCTACGACATGTGCTACGAGTCGTCTCATTGCGAGCCTACGTCAACCAGCGAGAGATCCGGCAGGCCTAGTCACGAGAAGTCGGCCCAAGAAACGACGAAGAGACACGAGAAGTCGCATCATCCGGGAATCGAAAACGTGGTCGAGAAGCTGAAGAAAAACGCGGCGGCGGCGCTTCAGGAAGCCGCGTTACCCCCGACCCAGAAGATCGATGAGAAACCGATCTCGAGGAGACACTACGAGACGATACCGAAGAAACTGCACTTTCTGAGATCGTGTCAGAATTCGATGGAGAACGGCGTCGACGCCGAGGTCTCTTCCTCGCAGCAGATCGTAATGTCGGAACAGGTACAGAATCGGGATCGATCGGGACGATACTCACCTCAGACGGAAGACGACCGACACTCGCTGGGTGGCAGCAAGTGCGACACGTCCGGCGAGTGTCTGGTCAGCGACAACAACAACGACAGCAGGAGCAACAACAACAACATCAAGACGTTCGAGAACAAAACTCTGTACGAGAAGAACGAGAGGAATCTGTGCGACGTTACCGCTTACGTTAAGCCAAAGACCGTTTGGCGTTGCGAGGTGCATCTGATAGAGAAGAACGCGGCTCGTAAACTCGACGAGGACGCGTTATCAGAAATGACGACGAAGTCAGCCAGAATTCAGAAGCAAAAGCCAGCGATCGACGTGAGCGGTCTCGAGTTGCTGTCGAACAGCATCGAGCAGTTGGAGCAGCGGATCGGCCAGTCGGAACACTCGCAGATGGACGTGGACGAAGAGTCGCCCGTGAAGAAAAACTTAATCGGTCAGTCACAGAGTGAGAATAACAACAACAACGTCGGTCTCGGTCTGCTCTGCGCTCTCGCGGAACAAATTATGGAAGTGGGCGACAAGGTTCCCCGAAAATTGAACATCGACAGTTCGGAGGAGATCTCCCAGGCTGGTAGATTGCTGCTGAATCTGGGCAGAGGTCATCCTTCCGAGAAGGATGGAAACAAGAGGAAGTACCTTGATAGCGAAAATCATTATTCCAAACGAATCAAACTTGACGACGAAGAAGTTGCGTCGTCCAATTATCACGAGGAGAGTATCGAAGACGGAGACGCGGATGACGCTGTTGATGAATATCAGAAGAACGATCTTCCGCAGAAAGAGAAGAATATTAAACGCGTCGTTGATTTTTCCGCGAACGAAGCTAATGACGTTTCCGACGAAAGATTCGTCGCGTCGGAAGGTTTCAATTCTCAACAACACAAACAACGTGGTGCGAAAACGAACGAAACAAACGATTTGCAAGATAACGACGCGCGTTACAACGATGTCGCTGAAGAGAACAATCTATCGGATTCGGAGAACGAGACTCCAAAATCGAAGATCTCCTTCAGACAGCCGGTTAACGGCGAAACCGAGAAACGAAGAACGTCCGTCGGAGAAAAGGACGCGAGAGACGTTCACGATTGCAAGAACAACACGTGGACGAAGTCGGAGGCGAAGAAGTTCGCGGCGAAGAAAGGAAATCGCGACAACGAGGACGACTGGCCGAACATGAACGCCACGGAACTGGACATGCGGGTGAAAATGGCCGACATTCAAAGACAGTACAGGGAGAAGCAGAAGGAACTTTCCAAATTGATTTTGCCCAAGAAAGACGAAAAGAAAACCCCGGGCAGACCGCGAAAAAAAAGCCATTCCTCTACGTGGTGAGTGTCAAAAATCAAAATCACAATTGTGTAAAAGCAAAGCTTGTAATATCTTTTTACCCGGTAATAATTTTTCATTTAAAAAACAAAAAAACAAAAATATCAACTATTTTTAAAACTGGGACTATATGTAAACGACATCGTCTTGTAATTGTTTTTTTGTTTCTTGTGTTAATTTTTCAGTTCTGACTACGGAACGTTGTCGTCGCCACCTACGTTGGATCTCATGAGCTCCCCAATTCAAAAATCACCACCGGGATCGCCGGGATCACCTAACGGCACATCGCCGCCGGTAATTTCGACTTTGTTGCCCAAGTGCAACGTGAATCTCGTTAAGATCGGCGAGCCCAGAAGTCACATAAAACTGCTGGATAGCATACCCAGCATCCCGATATCGGTGCCGCTGTCATCAGCGGTACCATCTGTTGTCGCTAAAGCGGTAACGGAGGACGAGGAGAAAAGTGCAAGAACGGTACGTATCCATCGCGTATCGATCTTTCGATATCTTTTAATTTACGCATTTTGAAGTTTTAAGATTGGAATATACATAAAAAAAGTATCATAACCATTTACACAACCCAGCCCCAATTTAACCCCTTTATATCTTCATAAAATCATTTTTAAAACCTTATTATCCCCCCGCCCCTGTCAGTTTTGTTAAAAATAGCTTCCACCTTTCTAAAATAATTGTTGAAGTAACCTTCGGAAATTCATATGATCTTAATCTCTTTTGGGCGTCATATCGTTAGATCTTGCACTCGACGGCATCAAAAAAAGATGGCATTTAATTCAAAATCACACAGGTTTATTTTTTATTTAATTTTTTATTTAACTTCTACTGATATTGCGATCTCAGTCGCACCGGGACATTTTACAATACGTGTATCTTCGCTTCGGTTTGATACCACTATATGATTAACTAGATTCTTGACTAGATTGTTTGGACGGCTTTCGCAGCCGTGATTTATAGGCTATTGCCTTATCTTTTCTTTCACAGACAAAATTCCTAGATCTTTGTGTAAGATCTCGTTGGATAAGTACCATGGGTCATTTCATTAACATTTTTAACATTTTATTTTAAAATCTCTGGAGTAATTTTTTTTGTTGGAGTCTGCAGCGGCGGACTCCAAAGTTGGATTCCATAAGTCCAAACCGGTTTTAACCCCTTAACCTGCACTGTGGGGTGGAATCTACCCCAGGCATTTTTGCACGAAGACAGAGCTACGTAAATCGTTTTTTTTTAAGGAAATTTTTTTCACTAACTTAAAATTGAAAAATCATTAAAAAAACTATGACGTCTTTTTATAGATGCTTCAAATAGTGTATATAAATTGTTTTCAAGTTATCATAATAATTTCAGTGAATTTGATGATCATTTTTGCGACTGGGGTAGACCATACCCCGTGTGCAGGCTATGTGATTCCTATGAAGTGTGCATGTTAAGGGTTAATATACTTTTGTTAATAAGTATTTTGCTGTTTAGTTGGGATTTGCGTTTTCTATAAGCCAATAAAGCTTCATGAGTTTGAGACCTAATTGCTTGCGTTTATTAAACCCAAGATAACCAAGAATTGAATGAGCATATTTTGCAAAGTGTGCAATAACACATTATGCCATCAACAAAATGTAGCCAGCATTCAAACATTAATCTGTTATTTCAACTACTGTCGACAGAACACCAGAAAAAAAACAGAAAATATAAATGTGTCATGCCGCGACGCAAATTTTTATTCCATCAATCAAGCAGAACTTGCTCAAAAAAATGTAGCAGATTTGAAGCATAACGTGCTATTGTCATTTCATTCTTCATTTATTTCTATATTTTTTGCTGTATTGTATTTTCTTTACATATAGCGCCTACATAATTCACTCACTATGATGACACACAGCTGAGTGAAATCTGCTGCAAAGTGCTGATCATAAACCTGCGTGCATATACTGCTGGCATATATACTGCTATTTATTTGGCTATCGGGGAAACATGTGTGTGTTTTCTAATTTAGATTTTTATTTAGATGCATACCCAGAATATTCTCGCGTCGGTATAGCTTCCAGGTATTGGTAATCCATTTAAACTAACTGCTGGGCATGTATCGTGCTTGTTTGCAAATGTATCACGAATTAGATTTTGTTTTTCGTTAATTTTATAATACGCCGCTTATTCTTGGATCATCTATCTATGTTGTCCAAAACTGTTTTGAATTTTTTTTTTTGAATGCAATTTTTGGACTTCTTCATGTGTTGCTAGTATAACTGTGTCATCAGCAAAAGTATCAATCGTTGTGCCTTCCGTTTTAGGGAGGTCAGCCGCAAATAGAAGATACAACGCCGGTCCCGATACATTACCTCGAGGTACACCGGCTTTTATTTCGTGTAATTTCTCCTCATCCTGTCTGACTCTAAGATTTATTAAAAAAGACGAATGTTTTATTTGCACTACGTGCAAACTATTTTTAATTCGACCTTTTTTTGTTTTTAACAACCGTTTTTACAAACAAATATTTGGAGCACCCATAGGTGCTCTCCTTTGTTCCCCCTATCCTTGCTGACCCAGTGATGCAAGATCTCGAGAGTCTTCAACCCTCGTCTTGTTGAATTTTAAATCATCTTTCTGAAAAATAAAATATGTTGACGACATAGCTCCAATGGAGCTCCAAAAGACTTGATTCGACAATACAAATTTTTTAATTCCTTTCTCCTACTCCTCGCCTACAGTTTACTATGGAGGTCGGTTCAAATGACAGTTTAAATTGACATTACAATGATCAAATCTAATAATCAACTTACACACAATTGGTATCACAAAAACCAACTTTCTCTCTCTGGTCAGTATCTCAATTTTCATTCTAACCACCCCGTCAACCGGAGGTGTTGTCGTGGGTCTGATCGACAGGTCTTTCTTCTTATCTCACCCCCAGTTTCGCTCACAAAATTTTGAGGCAGTTTTTAAAATATCGATTGACAACAATTACCTTTCTTTATCTATGATACTTTTAAACGCGGACTCAAATAATAACTCTCTTAAAAATAATGACGCACGAGGATTCTTATCGAGTCAGGTACGCAATGACGACCCTCCGCGTTGGTTTGTGATACCATATGTATAAAAAACTTTTGCGAAAAATCGACAGCTTCCTCGCCCAGAAACAATCACTTTTACACAGCTTACATATGTCTTCCTTAAACTAAACCAAGTTCGTCAAAGTCCAAAAGGATCCTTCTTCCACACAACATTCACGGCAATGTTGTATACAGAATCCAATGTCTTGATTGTGCGACGCCACGTAAGGTTGGTCAAACCAGCAGATTGCTACAAACTAGAATCAATGAATACCATATCCATAGAGCTTCAACGCAAAAATCAGTCATCGCAGGACCATAGGATCCTTCTCGCATGATCGTGATTGAAATAACATCACCATCCTTGATTCAGAATCTTCCTACCACAAACGCACAATATCCGAGATGTTGACATATAAAAAATCAGACTAACAGCCTAAATTTACACTCTCTCTCTTTTCGATAAATCCTATTTACCCTTATATATATATATATATATATATATATATATATATATAATCAATAAAAAACAGCCAATTGAGTTTTCCATGCCATTTACAATCAACCTTATTTATTTGTTTTCTACTTGTTTTATCACACCGCAACGTTTTTCGATTCAGTCTTACACGAACTATTGTAAAGTTCGTGAGGTCATTACACCTTGTTTCTCATGGAGTGAGTTCTATACGCCACAAGTAAGTCTGTTTTTGTTTCTATTATTGTCCTCTTGATTTGATCACTTTGTTTTTTTATTATTTTTTATTACCTCTTCCGTTCTCGCTTAATTTTATTTACCAGACTACACTGAAATCACTTAACGCTTATGCGACAAGCACATGAAACCTCATTTGACCTCATCTGACGTAAATCTGTACGTGCCATGAGGTTTTTCAAATTCATTTGTTCATTGATCCAACACTTATACGTTCAGACTCTTATATATATTTCACTCTCATAGATTATACAGTCCTGACACATTGAAAAAGACCAAAAACCTAATCGGGGTCGAATCGTTTTTTGTTATACAAACACAACAATACACAAATTATACATCTCTACCGGTGTTTATTGTTATGTTAATGCAAAAAGCACCGGTAGAGAATTCTTCCTATATACGCAAAAACATTTTAGACTAACAATGCAAAACGGGAATATTTTCTTTTCAGTCGAATTACGACACGTCGTCGCCAGCGCCCACCGTCAACTCGACTTCCGCTTCCAAGAAGAGGAAAGTGGGCCGACCGAGGAAGCTCACGTGCACCTCGGGAGGTGTCAGACATTTGACCGAGACGATTGTTGCGAAAAAACCCAAAAGCAAAAGTTCCCTGGTGGGTTATGTGTTATCGTCGAAGAACAGACATCTACAGTCAAAGGTATCGGGTCTGATGATGCTTTTTCTCTCGAAGAAAAAATTTTGCTTCGAATTCGCAGAAATGCCAAATAACAATCGAAAACCGCGCTCGGCTGGAATTTTTTGCTCGTCGAAGCTTCATGTGTGATTTATATGTTTCTTAAAATTTTCAGCAATACATCAACAACAAAACCGGTTACACTCCGTTGCCTTTCAAATCCGGATTGTCTTCCGCCCCGAAGACGCAGTCTAAGGTGCAAAAAGTCACGAAAATGAAAGCGAAACCGGCTAAACAGACGTCTTTGCATAACAAAAACGTAATCAGCTCGATTATCGCCGAGAAGGCGAAATTGAGTCAAGAAGTGAAGCTCGAGAAGCACAGCGGTAATAAAATAAAACCGAAACTCAAGGCGGAGGTGAAGATAAAAAATTGGAAGGACGACGAGAACGACGCGGCATCGTGCGCTAGCATTCCGTGCTCGGACGAACCCGCCGTTCAGAAACCCGCGAAGGTATACATATGGTGTCTGATCTTAATTTTCTCTTTTCTTATATCTCTCAACGCTGACATTTACAACAACAAAAAATAGTGCGTATGTACATTCGAATTCTAAAAAAATTTCTCACTCGCGTGTTAGGAGACACCGCCGGCAAAGTCGCCGGAGCAACAGGCGGAAAAGGATCCGGCGGAGAGATCGCGGCACGAGAAATCGAAGAAGAAGAAACGCAAGTCGAGCTCGTCGCAATCGCCGAGTCGCGAGCGAAAGGATTCGAAGAGGCGCAAATCCCTCGAGTGCAAACAGTGCGCGAAAAAGGCGGCCGCGGCCGCAGCGGCGAGAAACGAGAGCGTTGTCAACCGATGCAAGTTGACGTCCGCGCATCTGGCCATCGATCAGCTTCGGGTTCTCATGGCGATGGGCGGCCTCTTCTACGCGGGCAGGCTAAGCGCCGTTCAGGCGCCCGACGTTTACGCAATTACTCTGGACGGCGAGCGCGGCAACCGACCGCACATTCACTCCCGAGAAGAGATTTTAAAAGACGCGGTAAACTATAACCAAGTGTCTTGTAACATGTAAAAACAATCTCTTGTATGATTAATTCATTTAATTTACTAATTACATTTTTTGGTAGTATTGCGTGTAAAATTTAACTGTTACGCAAAAACCTAAATTTTTTTTTTTTTTTTTTTTTTTTTAAGTCAGCATATCGCAAAAATTTGACGCTTTAACCTTCACCGAAAAAATTGTATTCCTGTTTTGAGGATATCCCACTTACTTTAAGTATATTTTATACTAAAATAGGCGCCAAGAAGAAATTCTTATTTTAAGAGGAAAATCCTCTAAACACAGTAATATTGATAAGATTATATACTGATTAGAATATAAAAAGCCTCTATAGAAAAACATATATATCTCACTATCGAAAAAGAATATATTCTTAAATAAAGAATATATTCTTAAATAAAGAATATATTCTTAATTTCAGAAGAATATCATCTAAAATCTTTAAGAAGATTTTTTAAGTATAAAATCTTCTACTTACGAGAATATAATTTTTTCGGTGTTCAGACTGCCGGCATGACGCCGCGTGGCTCATCGCTATTGGGACGCTAATTATACCGTATTTTCAGAGAAACAAGTTCTCTTTCATCCGACTTTGATTTGCGAGAAAAAATATGTGGAAAATCTGAATACGTTAATAAAGAATCTTAGGCTCTGAGGGGTTTCTAAACGCGAAAAATATACAAATAAGAGGTAATAAGAGCCGGTACGCTGGATGTTGTTGCGGAAATATGTGTATTTTTTTTTTTTTTTTTTTACGTGTAAGTCTTACACGTGAGTTTCTGAATTGAAATTTCACTTCTCTTAAGTTCGTACAGGACGCTATATTTGCATCACATATATGAGAGAGACCCCGGTTTTATCGCCCTAACTAATTTTAAAATATTGCGGAGAAAAACATCTCGGCCAGGAGTCGAACCTGGAATCTCCGGCCTTCCGTGCCGTGTAAGATTTACACGTGAATACGCACACACACACACACACACACATATATATATACACATATTTCCACAACAACATCCAGCGCGTACGGCTCTTATTATCCAAATTATTATCTAAATTATGTCGTTGGATGGTGTAATTTAGCTTTTGAATTCGCCGTAATACGAGATGCGAAATTTATTTACACACGATTAGCTTGGTAATAATGCTATTGAAACATTCGCAAAAAAAAAATTACTTCATATAATCAGCGATATGATATCTATCTCTCTAGAGAAAAACAGTATTTTTCAAAATTAGGCAATTTTATTTTTACTTCCCTTCCCCCGCCGGTTTGGCGCCAACCGGATGAAACTCAGGGCGCACCGCGCAATGTAACAAACTCAATTTGTGCGACAAATATAGCGAAAAAAAATACCACGTTTTAATAATAAAAAAAAAAAAAAAAAAAAATGCCGGTGATCTAAAGTGAAAAAAAGTTGTTGTAAAGTAAAAATTGCCGAAGTTCAAAGTCGTTCGAATATATTGATTAAAAATACTTAACGTGGAATTGATTCGTCATAAGTACGCGCGGTGCGAGAGTCTGTGAGTTTATTAACGTAGCTACAGAGAGTCGACGAGAGTCGACTTAGAGAATGTATGTGTTTATGTGTGAGACGTCAAAACATTGTTTTTATCGAACTTGTCGAAGAAGCGAGACCGTATCATTTACATTCGTCACGTTTTTGTTGACGGAGAAAGTATCTACATCCTAACGAGTTAGTGTTAAATTGATGATTTTGTGAAAATTTTGATAAAATTATAAACAAATTTTGTTTGACATAATTGTTTCGTTTTGATCGCACAGATTGTAGAAGTGTGTCCGAGTTCGACGAAAGAGCTGCCACCTGGAACCAGACTTTGCGCTTATTGGAGTCAACAATATCGGTGTTTATATCCGGGAACTTCGGTTGAGCCCTTGGAACCCGATCCGGAGCTCGACGAGAAGTTCGTTACCGTGGAATTTGACGACGGAGACAGCGGGAGAATCAGTTTAGACGACATCAGACTGCTTCATCCCAATTATCCTGTTGTAGGTACGTATCCTCTACTCCACGGTGCGGTGATACTTTCTTCTCTACCGTAAAAACAAAACAGAAAAAAAAAAAAAAAAAGGTTCCAGTTTACACACAACAACAAACCGTAAAACCGAGATTTACTTTTTAATTGTTATCGTTGTTGTTTTATGTTTGACGCAGAATACGATCCGAATCCGCTTCTCTCGTTGGGCAAACGACGACGGCAAACCTCCTGTTCTTCGGAAGACAAGCGTTCCGCAAACAGTCAGATGGTCGTGCCGAAAGAGGGTTGTAACATCACGTCCCAGAGCTTGATACCCACCAACACCACGTTTTCGACGTCGTACACGCCCAATGTGCAACAGTCGCCGAATAATATGCAACGCGCGGAAGTGATCGACGAAACGAATACGTGCGCGATAGATAGTCGTAAAGAAAAACACAATAAGAAAATAAAGAAGAAGAAATTGCTCGAAACTATAGATGGAAAGAAAAAGCACAGGAAGCGCAGATTGTGCAAGGAGCACCGCAAGCACAAGCACAAGAAACACCGAAAGCACAAGCACAGACATCACACCGACAGCTCGGGCGACGTCGGTAACGTGAGGTATGTGTGTGTGTGTGTGTGTGTGTGTTATACACACCGAAAAAATTGTATTCTTGTTTTGAGAATATCCCACTTACTTTAAGTATATTTTATACTAAAATAGGCGCCAAGAAGAGTTCCTTATTTTAAGAGGAAAATCCTCTAAATAGTAATATTGATAAGAATATATACTGATTAGAATATAAAAAGCCTCTATAGAAAAACATATATATCTCACTATCAAAAAAGACTATATTCCTTAATATTAAGAATATATTCTTAAATAAAGAATATATTCTTTATTTCAGAAGAACATCATCTAAAATCTTTAACCCTTCTTTGCATGATTTTTTTTTTTTTTTTTTTTTTTTTTTTTTTTTTTTTTTGTCACATTTAGTTTACAGTTTTTGAGTACCTTTTTTTCTTCACTAAATGTTATAATTAAAATTTCCATCATCATGCAAAGAAGGGTTAAGAAGATTTTTTAAGTATAAAATCTTCTACTTACGAGAATATAATTTTTTCGGTGCACGTAAACGGTCTCTTATATGTGCGTCGCGAGATGTTTAACAATTTCTTATTGCTATTTAATTTCTCCGATACAAATATTCAAATGTTGTTTTTTTTTTTTTAGCAATGAGGAAAGCACCATGGAGCAAAGGAACGCGGAAGAAATGAAGGAAGCGTTGCAAGATGCGAGCAATAGTTTTTCCGAGGAAAAAACGTCGTCCGAGGAGTCGGAAGAATTGTCGGAACACGTTCAAGAGGACGATGTTCAAATGGACGACGATGTTCAAACGGATGACAGGGAATCGTCGCAATTCGTTTGCGAGAACGTGAAAGAGAATTGGACGGAGTCTGAAAAATCAATGGAAGAAGACGATCGAGAGGACGCGACGCAAAAATGTGTCGAAGATTCAAGATCGACGACGACTATAAGCGAAGAAGCGAAGGACGAATCGGAAGATATTCAAGATGACAACCAGACCCAATCGGAATGTCAAAAATCGTTTAAACTCGCCCCGCGGTGGGTCGTTCTCCCCCCCAGGGAGGAAGTTCAAGTTAATACGGAGAACAGAGGCGAATCATTGACAAGAAGAGAAAAGTCGTCAGAAAATATTCAGGAAAACAAAAACGACCAAATGAAAATTTCGTCAAAAAATGAAGACCTTTCTGGCGGCAGTTCTTCCTCCGGAAATGATTACTTGGCGGACCAATCTTCTTCTGATAGCACAAACGATCAAACATTTAATACCACATTTGATCATTCTTCCGGTACTTTTTCGGGTAAATTCAGTTCTTTTTCTTAGTTCTTCGATAAAAATACAGTTTGGTTTTGATTCTTCTGTTGTTCTTCAACTTTTTCTGATATTTCAACAGGTTCTTCGTCTACCAATTCTTCGGAAGAAATTCAGATCCAAGAAGACGTGAAAATGCAGGAAAAATCATCAGATCTCGTTCAGGATCACGTTCAAGCTTCAACGGAAATTGCGAAACCGTCGGGAACTGTTGTTCGGGTTAACGAGGGAACCGCGGAAACGAGTTCCGTCTCGATAAATCAATCAACGATGGATCGCGGTTCGAACACTTCGTCGAACAACACTTCCGAAACTTCGTCTGTACCCGAATCCAACAGCAAGATAGCCTCGATGTTACCTGACAAACTCATCTGGAAGTGGGAAAATCCGACTCGCACATCCGGAGCGAATCAATACTTCGCCTCGATAAGACGCGGCAGAGAGATGATAAGCGTAGGCGACAGCGTGTCGTTTTACTGCCTCTATCGAAACGAGAAACCCTACATCGGCAAAATCGTAAAACTGTGGTCGAATCACAAATCGCAGATGAAAGTCAAATCAAACTGGTTTTACCGTCCCGAAGAACTGGATCAACCCTGCAAACTGACCATTCCGG